TGTTATATCCTGTAAACAAATTACTTGTCATCAATCACTGTAGGTTTATTGTAAAATTCCTACAGCTTATTAACACTGTCCTGTCATATGACATAATATTTAGGAATATTATATTTTTTCTATACGAAACCGTTATTATTATAAAAAAAATTATATATGAAAAATTAATCTTTTAAATACCGTCATATAGAAATTTTCTCATCAAAATACAAATCCTTTTCTTTTAATTCCAAAATATCATAAATATTTGCAATTTTGTCATTTTGACGTACGCACAACATACCGTACAGAAAAAATGTATCACATACTCACTTATAACATGCGTGACAATAATCCTTTTTTTTTCCTTTTTTTACTCTTTTGATTTTTTACAATTTCAGTAAAGCGTTTCAATAAATCAAAACAAAAGATGAAAATCACAAAAAAAAGTATAAAAAAATAAAGCTCTTTACATAGAATCTCAGGTATCTACATAATAATGGCAAATACTTCAAATAATACCAATTTATAATACCGTAACAAAGAAAATAGAAAAAAAATTGGGGCTTTAAAGGAAAATAGAACAAAATAAGGAAGAACAGCCTAACTTTCTGCAACAAAAAATTCAAAATTACAGGAAGGGTGGATTTATTTTTTTTGAAAAAAATAATCCGTGATTTAGAAAAAAAAAGAGAAGAGAAAAAGAATTAAAAACCACTTTTTATGTCATTATTATGGTGAATTACCAAGATCAATCTATAAAAAAAGGTCGATATTTCCGACTTAATTTGCGATAAATACCAAATTGGGCCTACATGTATGGTAGGGGACTAAAAGTGTTTTTCTTTTTATTTTTATTAAGGAATTTGTTGAATTTTCCCTTTTCCATTTACAAAGCTTAAAAAACTATGAATCTGACAGTTCTTTTGAAAACTTCAGGAATTGCAACACAGATTCTACCTGTAAGACTCTATAACCAGAAAAAGTCACTGTTTTCTAAATAACCTTCATACTTTCTATTAAATTAACTTTCACTTTCATTTAAATGTCCTTTTACTTTCAATTAAATGTCCTGAGAAATCTATAATTTACTCTTCTTAAAATTTTCTAAATAAATTTTTGCATACTCCAATTTTAATTTTTGGACTATTTTTCCTAATATTGAAATTTACAAAAATCTTTTTTATTTTTACTTTTCTCTTTTTGTTTTTCGCTTACTTTTGACTGTAGGTAGTAAAAATCATTTCTTTTGTATTCTCAAAAAATCAGTAACAATGTGATGAGTTATTTTTTTTCATCAAATTTTTACGATCTAATCTTTTTGGTTGGTAGCAAATGTTTTTGTTAGCACGTAAACACAAATAAATTCTGCACACTTGTGAAAAAGATAAAAAAAAATTCCTCTTTTATCTTCGTTTATTGTATTTTTTTCTCCTTTCTACTTTTGTGTATTTTTTTTGCTAGCATTTTTGTTGTTCTTTTTTATTTTCATAATATTGATTTATATTTTTTTTTGTATATGAAGTATTTTGCAATCCTGTTATCCTTTCAAAAAAAAATCTTTTTAAGAATTTATAAAAAGAGAAGAGCAAGAAATAAATATGAAGAAAAGAAACAGAATGAAATAAAAATATGGTTTTTGTTTTTATTGTTTTACTAAAACAAAAACATGACGGAAATTTATAGAAACAAATTTATTTAAATTTTGAATGTCCTCTCATTTCTTTAGAATGTCCTTTAAGGATGTTTTCTAGTTTTGAATATATGCAAGAATAGTTTCAAATACGACAAGAAAAAACAAAGTTTTTAACATTTTGAAAAATGTACAATTGAAATGCTACACATGTGTTTTATTCGTATAAAGTGACATGAAAATGTCAAAAATAATATATTGCATATTTATAGGTGCATGACAATTGACAATTTAAAAATGAATTTTTTCTCTTCTTTGTAATAATTCGTGAATTATGACAATGTTATTTTAGATGAATGGAAGTGTGGCTAGATGTGACAAAATTTCTTAAAAATTTGAAATTCTAATTTGTATGCAAAACACTTCGGCATTTGATTGAAAATAAATTATTTTTGTATTCTAAGGTTGAGGAATCCTTTTCTTATAACAATCAATTTTTGATAAAAAGAAAATGTGGAACTATATTTAATTGCCTCTAGCTAATAAAGGAATGGTTAGAGATTAAATAACAGAATTCGAGATAGTTTCTATCGAATCAAGCCGTGCTTACATATTTAATGTTCTATAAATAAAATCATAACAAGTGTTCTTTTCAAATTTTTTGGTACACTAATTTTTTTCTTTAAAAATCTAGTAAAATATGAAGATAAATATTGGTAAAGTCATTAAATGAATGTTGTATTGAAAAATTGATCAAAAATGTTATAATATAATATAATTTTAATTGAATTTTAGTATAAAAAATCTAGATTAATTGTATGAAAATTCTAGAGATTTCTAAAGATTAGCTCCTCAATTAAAAAATTTGAAAAATGTATGTTAATTTTTTGAAATTTGTTGCGGCAGCAGGTCATTGTTTGAATTGAAAACCCACATATGTTATTTTACAAGATGAATTTTTAAGGAATTTTTCAATATTTCAAAATAGCAGAGAAAAAAATTTTTCCAAATTCTTACGGAACACGAGCACACTTAACTTTTGTATTCCTATCTCCTATCATCATTTGCATTTATTGGATGTGTACTAAAGAATTAAATGTTGTGGAGTAATGTGATTTTCAATTGTGATTCTCATAGAAAGCTTGATTTCGATTTTATACATATATACAAAATGTTTTTCAATTAAAATTATTCACTAATAAATAATTTGTATGAATAAACCTCGATACTCATAAAGCTTTAGTTTTCGAGGTAAATAAAAAATTCTATTAATAAGACAATTACAAATTCTATTAGTAAGACGACTAATTTTCTAAAAGCATAGAATAAGGTAATTACTTCTTGATTACTGTCTAATAAAAAAAAAATAATTTTCTTTTTTCAAAAATATGAGAAATCGCCTAATCAACATTTTTTGTAGGCTGAAAATAAGTTATTTGTTTTTTGTATTTTATTTCGCTTGTATTTTGTGTTGTAACATAATTTGTTTGCCATTTAAATTTTTACCTCATATTTTCTATTGTTGATGCCAAAATTACCATCATTATTCAAACACTTTAAAATTTTCAAATATAATATTTAAAAAAGAAATATTAAAATAAATAATAAAATTAGCTTATGGAAATATAAATTTTATTAAATGTGAAATTAATGTTAAAACAAAATTATTACTGCAGAGTAACAAAAAAAACAAAAACCAATGAAAACAAACAGTAACCTCAGGGCTTATACAAGAAAGAATCAGAATAATTTTTCTCCATCTTAAACAATTTAAATCTATTTCCCTAGTTGTACATTATGTCCCATCCTCAAAGCCCACTTATTTAATAGATTTTATATGAAATTTATGAGTAATAAAAAATATCAAAAAATTTAAACAATTTACGCACAGAGTATGTCATGTAAATGAGATAAGGATGTATCAAGTAAGAATTACTTTAAAATTAATAATTTCTTCTAAGATACTAAGAAATTGAAAAAATTAATAGAATGTGTTGATTTTAAGAATACTTTTAATAACGTATAAGACACCAAAATAAATAAAGAGCTTTCATTTCTGTTGCAAGATATAATTTATTATGGCAGGTCAATTCACAAAATTTACTATGGTTATTACCATTTTAACCAATTTCCGGTTACACTTAATGGAATATCGTGCAGTGATTTTATTATTTACTGATACATACATATATGTATATGTATATATTTTTAACCGTAATTTTTTTTCACTCTTTTGAAAAATAAAACCAAAAATAAAGTCTACTATATACACAGAGAGTAAACACCGTAAGTTATGATTTTATCAAGAGCTCGAAAATCCTCATATACAATATTTTCTGAGTATATGGTTATTTTTATGAGATTCCTTCACCACCAAAACACAGGAATCACAAAAAAAAACAAGTATAAATAAAGAAGTAAATACATGAAAATTGTTTAATAAAACAGAAAAGCAACAAAAAAAAAACAAGACAACAACGAAATCCACGAAATTTTTTAACGAGCACGCATTTTGCCTTTTCTTAATAAAACCATTTTAGGATTCTGTTTATTTTTAATTTTTTTTTCATTTTTCTTTCTTGTGCCGTCATTTCTTAACTGTTCTTTTTTGTTATCTTTAATAACAAAAAAATTTTTTTCTCTCTTATTAAAGTGTACGTATAAACTGCAAATAATGTTAGGCTCAGTGCGGTTTTTATTAGTGTAAAAGTGAAGTTTTTAATGAAATGAAAATTTGATATTAAAAAACAAAGTGAAAGAAAAATAAGAACATAAAAGGAAAAATTTCAACCCAAATGTAATAAATTACACTCATTTTTGGATTTTATACTCAAATTAATTTGGAGCATTTTTTTTCCTTTTGTTTTTTGTTTCTCTTAAATATAATAATAGAGGGCAAGAGAGCAATATTTAGTTAATTTTTTATTTAAGGGTTACCATATTTGCATTGTAATTTTTTTCTCGTTTAGTATGTCAAATTCGAAACGAAAATTTTTAAAAATTTAACAAAATCAAAAATCGGGATTATTTTATTGGTTTACATAATTATATTGAATTAATGACTTGCAACTAAAATATTTGTGTATTCATTCGCCTTTTAAGCTTAATATACAAGTCCTTATAGAATTCTTACATATATATGTATAACTCAAAACGCCATTTGTAGCTGGGATTACCAAAAATTTTAAGGTTATTACTTATTCGCACATGATTGTCATAAATAGTTTGGTTTTTATTCTCCTACACTGTGAAAGCCGGAGTAAATATCAAAAACTTTTTAATAATAATTAAACACTCCATCAAACTGAGTTGAGAGAAAATATTCTCTTTTTAACTGTACTTTGTAGGTCCGGCGCGTATTTTGAAATCGCTATTGCAATTATTTTTATTATTCAACTTGACTAACACATTGCATATAATCTGGAGTCCAAACATTAGGACCATTAGCACTCCCACCAGCCTTTTGGAAACCTATTAGAAAAATCAATTTACGCACCGTGAAATTAATTCTATTGAACTCTGTAACTTTAAATTAATTGTGTTGAACTGTATAACTGCAACTTCGCCGACAATTGGTTCTTTTAGGCTAGACATGTTTAAGAAATTTAGTTCTCTATAAAGTAAATATTAATTGATCTGGCAAACCTCTTGTCATATTTATTAAATAGGCAAATAAAAAAATTGTTATACCTTTAGAAAATTATACATATGTATAAATACAACTGCCCACATACTACGCAGATAATAATTTTAAAAATAGGATTAATATACCCCACAAGATTTTAAGCAAAACAAAAAATTAAAACTTGTTCTATTAAGGATAATGACGATGAACATTTTATGAATTTTTAAAATTTAATGAAAAAAACATAATGAAAAAACTAAATAAGAAAAAACAGCAATATTTTTTACCATTAAGTTTAAAACACCTAAAACGTCAAATAAAATAAGGAAAACAGCAGGATACCTCGGTTAAAAAAAAGGACGGCAACTGCGGTAATTAAAAAATAAAAACTGTTAAAAATTTTATTCTGTTGTTTTTTTATGTTTGTAATTCTCACCCCAAAAAAATTTAAAGAACATTTTATTATTTCTTACACTGTTTCCCAAGCGGGATGCCATAATTTTCTTAAATTTGTTTCGAATATTGAAATTTATTTGAATTATTTCTTTTGTAATGTTACGTAATCGCAGGATAATTTCCGACGACAAATTGATTACCGCAACCATAATAAATAAAATTATAAATAGAGAAACAAAAATATTATTCATAAATATTCTAGACGCGATGACACCACAAAGAAGGATAACTCAAAGAAGGATAAAAAGTATAAGAAAAAGAACAAAAATTTCATTGTGGTAACGTGAATTGAATAATTTTTAATTCGATTTCAACTTGTAAAATCAATATTCGATTATATGATACTTCGTGGAAAACAGTTTTTAGAAGGACTTTTTGGTTCTTTTCAATCACTATCTTAATATGCCCTACTACGTGCATTGTAAAACAACGGGGGCTAAGAATATTGGGGTGCGTTGAACACCAAAAATACTTCAAACATTTTTTGTGTTTTTGCGTAAATTTTTACTTAAATATCATGTCTGAGCCAAAATCTATCTGGTAATATAAAAACTCCATTATCTGCAGATATTCGGTGTTCAAGAACAGGTGTGAACTTCAGACTTATTTTTGGGAATGTGTAGTAAAATATTTCATTTGCCAGTCATTTTCAAGTTATCTTTACAAATAATTTTCCAGCAGAATTTTTAATCGAATTTAAATAACGACATCTTAATTGGTAATTCTTTTAAAATCGTCCAAGTTTCTGTACGGAACAATCTAGATACAAAAGCTATTTTTAATACTTTTACACAGATTAAATATATTTGTCTTCACTACATTTAATAAAAACATTCCCGAGCCAATCGATGTGGTTTAAATTTTAAATTGTCGGGATGAAGAATTTTAGAAATTCTTGTAATAGCAATTATACTCATACAAATTTACAATCCCTTCACCACTGGTATTAAAATAGTGGTAACAATTACTTAGTTCATTCATGCAATAAGTTTACTCAATAGTTCATACAATTTATGAACAACTCTATGTTCAACAACATGTTGCTCTGAACTTTTGCACAAAAGTATAATTTATATATAACATATGTATACATGTATACGTACATTTATTTATATAAATTTTTTATTCTATTAAGAATAAAAGGTAAAGTTTTTATACGCTATTCATCATGAATTTTGTTTATAAACACAAGGATTTTCTAAAAATAAATTTTTTTTTTGTATTTTATTATAAAAATTCTATTTATCTATATGTAAGTATATAAAAACAATTTGTTGATTATCCTTTCATAGTTTTTGAAGTGAAAAAAGGGAGGATTAAAAAAAATGAATATATATATATATAACAATATCCTTTTTCATACAATACGGGTGGTGCCAATGATATTTATTTGCAACCTTGTTTTTGTTGCTTTTTATATAAAACTAATGTAGGATTTAAAAAGATTCTGTAAATGAATAGTTGAATATGTTGATATTTTGGGATTCGATTTGTTCTTATAATAAGAAATCTACCACAAATTTTGAAAATAAATGAAAGCTCTTTGACCGCATTAAAGTATCTTGTATGAATTATTTTTAGAAATTATTTGCAAGGGTCAGTGTTTAACATAAATCTGTTCCCCATTGACTTAAGAACGTTAAATTGTGATTGTCTCAATCGTTTACGTTCAATTTTTATTACTTACATAATAAAATGATTAACAAAATTAATTTTCAAAAGAAATGAAATGAAAAGAACGATTGATTTACTTTTGGTTCTAGGATCCAAATTTAAAATTAAAATGTTCACAATTCAAATGTTAATTTTATTTTTTACGTTTTAACAATTGTAACTATACTTATAACATACATATAATTTATATAACCAAAAAAATTTTTTTTAAATTTTAATTTAATAAAAAAAAAATTTTACGTTGGTATTCACCTTAAATGTACAACAATGTCAGGAAAGCATTTAAAAATTAATTAAAAAAAAAAATACTTAAAATTCAAAAAGTCATTTTAAACCACGCAATTATAAGTATAGCTAATAGCATAAACCTATAATAGTGTAAACGGTAGCCCCATGTAAACTATTATAGATAATAGAAGGTGAACAATAAATTTATTTCGCGTAAATCTCATAGAAAAGAAAAATAAAATTTCACACCGCAATGCAACTGTATCCTTTAGTTCAACACAAAACATGCACTTGCAGAATCATTTTACAAATCATATGGTATACACTTGACTGGGAATTAGAAGATTATTATAGTTGAAAATTTATATAGAAACAAATTACATATAGTTTAACATTCTTAACATGCTAGCGAACACAACAAATGTTCGAAGAAATAAATCATAATAATTTTGAGCGACAAGCTAAATGAGGTTTTTATTGTTTTTAAACTTGAGAACTTTTAAAAATTTCAGCAAATTTTTTTTTTTTTGAAAAACTTTTATAGTTTGAAATATGAGAAATATTATACGAGTGTAAGAAAGTTTAATAAGAAAAATATTAGAAAATTATTTTATAACCAATAAGTTAACCTCTTGGTCACATCTGCTAAGAGAAAAAATCGCAGAAAAAGTTTCAAAAAATTAAATTTATAATTTCATTTATTTTTGATCCCATAAGATCCTTTTAGATGCAAGCAATGCTCAGAGAAATATGCAATATTAGGAAATTATAAATTCAAAATTATGGCGGAATAAAAATTTCTGCGTAATGAGTTCAAAAGTAAACTCAACTACAGAAAATATTAATACATTTACATTAAAACCTTATGAAGTCAAAATTACAATAATTTAGTAGAAAATTCGTATAACAATAAGAATTCGAATATTGTGGAATATGGAATATAAAAGTATTGGATTCTAATTTACTAGCTACTTTTCAAAACAAAAAAATTTAAAGAAAAAGGTGTTAGGTAATTAAATTATTTGCAGAATGAGACTTTAGAAGATAGTAGATTCATTAAACTATAGGCAAAGGATAACGTAGTTGGGCCACATAATTTAAAGACATTAAATGATAATATAAAGCTGAGAACGCAGAAAGTGAAGTGAGAGATAAATTTAGGCTGAAATGGTTGTATATTGTGTATTATGTGGTTCAAAAATTAAATAATTTGGAAAAAACTAGATTTTAGTTCCAGTTTATCTTTGTGATTTTAGACGGAAACTTTTTATAAACGAATTTTAATGTCAATATTCGTTGAATTAGAAATTCTTTTTTTTTATGATTCTATTCCAAAAGCTTAAAGGAAATAAGAAAATTTGACGAGAAAAAATTTGTATTTTCACATTTGTGAATCATTTTTCACAACACACACTCAATTAATACTTTTTGGGGTTGCTGCCGACATAATAAAAAGTAGATGTTGCATATTAAATTATAATTTTTATTAGACTTTAGGAAACAAAAATAATTTGATGATTAATTAAAATTAAGTAATTATCCTATTTCACTCAAGTTTTATGCTGATGATGGGAGTCGTTGGGTACCATTCATAAAGATATTTTCATGTTTTAGTACTATAGAACATTCAAGCAATGAAATTTTTAATGAAAATGTTTCTAATATAAGTAAAAGAAAATATTTTTGTTAGATAATTTTTTTGTGTGTGTATGTATATGCATGTGATTGTTTCACTTTAGGCATTTTTGGAAGACCGTGAGCAAGGTGGCTTGACAATGTAAGAAGTGTTCAGAAATTAGGACTTATATAAATTGGAAAAGATGTTAATAATTCTATTATATTGGAAGAGATGTGCAGAAGATCGAGTTGTATGGAGGCGAAGAAGAAGAAGTCAAAGCTATCGGGTTTTTTGATACTTTTTACTTATTACAATCTGAATTTCAATTAATTATAATTAGTAGTCGGAACACCTATACCGTAATTTCTTAAATTAAATGTTATGTCTGGGTAACTTTAATTAATCCTTTGTATAATATCTCTCAAAAATTACAAGTCAAATTGATTCAGATCTACGACAATGTATGCAACAAAATATAATAATACCATTATCTTCCAATTCCTCAAATTCGAAAAATGCTTACGTTTGATAACTTTAATTTATTAAAATGAAATGTCCTTTTATTTAATGATTCGTATCAGGGGCTTACTTCAGCTTTTTTCGTTTTAATTGAAAATGACAAAAAAAAATTAAAATTTAAATGAAAATTTTTCACTTATTGCGTGAAAAATAAATTAATAATTTTTCAGTGAATTTGCATGAAAAAATATTGAAAAATTTCTTATTATAATTTTTACCACTCGGGGGTCTGAAAAAATGCAAAAGTGAAATAATTGTTTTATTTATCCTTTTTGCTTCATTTGTTTTTAATTATTTAACACGTTAAATAAATTTTTGTATTTATTTTCAATATAAATTCAAATACCATCC